GTTTTTCAGAATCCTAGTCTTGCCCACATTTTGGCATGCTGTTTTGACTTTTTAATTGTAAAGACAGGCAGATTACTTGTTTTGTGTACATATTTTTTATACTGCTTAAAGGTTAAGTTTGCCTTTAGGAACCTGTTATATGTTACACCCGTATTTATGGTGTATAACATATTGCTAAGCACCACGGTCCTAACTGTCTAATCAGTGCACACATAGTCTTTTACATTGGAGAAAGTGTCTGCAGGAGCTTGACATTGCACCTGTGATCCACTGATCCACTGCAATGCTTTTTAGGATCCTGTGGGAAGACATAATAAATGCACCTTTTTTTCCCTGCATAAATGTGGCATTTATTACTTGTTACTTAATAGTGACTTTAACCTTTACATTTTGATTGTCTTCTTTGATAATAGGAGTGTTTCAGGTTGTCAGTAAAAACATTCGCTGTCAGTAAATTTGTTATGTTTTGTCAGTATAAAAGTCATCGGGGTTAGCATCACTGCTTCTGTACTATTGAAGCTTTTATATTATACAGTCATGGCCGAAATTGTTGGCACCCTTGATATTTTTCCTGAAAATCAAGTATTTCACACAAAAAAGGTATTGCATTAACACATGTTTTGCTATACACATGTTTATTCCCTTTGTATGTATTGGAACAAATATAAAACAGAGGCAGAAAAGCAAATATGACATAATGTCACACAAAACCCCAAAAATGGGCTGGACAAAAGTATTGGCACCCTTAACTTTAATATTTGGTTGCACACCCTTGGAAAACATAACTGAAATCAGTCGCTTCCTATAACCATCAATAAGCTTCTGACACCTCTCACCCGGAATTTTGGACACTCTTCCTTTGCAAACAGCTCCAGGTCTCTCTTATTGGAAGGACACCTTTTCCCAACAGCAATTTTAAGATCTCTCCACAGGTGTTCAATGGGATTTAGATCTGGGCTCATTGCTGGCCACTTCAGAACTCTCCAGCGCTTCTTTGCCATCCATTTCTGAGTGCTTTTTGACGTATGTTTGGGGTCATTGTCCTGCTGGAAGACCCAGGATCTTGGACGCAAACCCAGCTTTCTGACACTGGGCCCTACAGTGCGACCCAAAATCCTTTGGTAATCCTCAGATTTCATGATGCCTTGCACACAGTCAAGGCACCCAGTGCCAGAGGCAGCAAAACAACCCCAAAACATCATTGAACCTCCACCATATTTTACCGTAGGTACTGTGTTTTGTTCTTTGTAGGCCTCATTCCGTTTTCGGTAAACAGTAGAATGATGTGCTTTACCGAAAAGCTCTATCTTGGTCTCATCTGTCCACAAGACGTTTTCCCAGAAGGCTTTTGGCTTACTCAAGTACATTTTGGCAAACTGTAGTCTTGCTTTTTTATGTCTCTGTGTCAGCAGTGGGGTCCTCCTGGGTCTCCTGCCATAGCGTTTCATTTCATTTAAATGTCGACGGATAGTTCGCGCTGACACTGATGCTCCCTGAGCCTGCAGGACAGCTTGAATGTCTTTGGAACATGTTTGGGGCTGCTTATCCACCATCCGGACTATTCTGCGTTGCAATCTTTCATCAATTTTCCTCATCCGTCCACGACCAGGGAGATTAGCTACAGTGCCATGGGTTGCAAACTTCTTGATAATGTTGCGCACTGTGGACAAAGGCAAATCTAGTTCTCTGGAGATGGACTTGTAACCTTGAGATTGTTGATATTTTGCCACAATTTTGGTTCTCAGGTCCTCAGACAGTTCTCGTCTCCTCTTTCTGTTGTCCATGCTTAGTGTGGCACAGACAGACACACAATGCAAAGGTTAAGTGAACGTCTCTCCTTTTTATCTGCTTTCAGGTGTGATTTCTATATTGCCCACACCTGTTACTTGCCCCAGGTGAGTTTACAGGAGCATCACATGCTTGTAACATTCTTATTTATCCAGTTTGTGAAAGGGTGCCAATACTTTTGTCCAGCCCATTTTTGGAGGTTTGTGTGACATTATGTCGAATTTGCTTTCTTTCCTCCCTTTTTTTGTTTTTGTCCCAATACACACAAAGGGAATAAACATGTGTATAGCAAAACATGTGTTAATGCAATACGTTTCGTGAGAAATACATGATTTCCTGGAGAAATATCAAGGGTGCCAACAATTTCGGCCATGACTGTATATATTCAGTATACTATTTTGTTCAAGAAAATGCCCTTGTGTGTTTTTTATCAGCAGATTAAAAAAAAGTTAAATGTTGGCATTCAATTTGAAAGAACTATGGAAAGTGTTGTTCTAATATTCTGCTGCCAACTGCCTGTGCTCTAGAAATCTTATTTCCTTACCAACTTCAACTCTTGATCATCATTTTTGAGTTTTGCTTAGTAGGTTATGGCTAAATTTTTTCTCACACTTTCTTTAGCTAAGAATTTACAATTTTTGGCTTAATGAGAAACAGACAATTTACAACGTATTCAAAACATTTGGATATGACCCAAAAGCCAAAGGAATACATTTACAAAAAACAAAATCAGCTCAGTAGTTGATGGATATTGGACAAGCAACATACTCTGTAAAGAGGGTTGCATAGAACAACACATTCAGAGATCAGAGTTACACCATTACAGACTGCCAGATGTCAGTGGGGCCTTCGCTTCTCAAGGATTAGTAGACTGCAGTTAAATTTATATCATGCATTTCTACCTATTGTATAAACATATATTAGGGGTTTAAATAAGGAATCCTGTGTATAGATACAGCAGAGAGTATGTATTATGTAGGTTTGCACTGCAGAGATAAATCAATGATACAAGTAGGGTTAAATCAGATGGTCTGAGGAACTTAAAACCTCAATAGAGGATATATTTGCCTTTTGGATGATTCCAGAAATGAACCTGAATTCTTGGTCTCCTTTGACCATCCATGCATCCTGATCTGATTTTACATATAGCATGGCTAAAGTCAAAATACATTATGAGACTTTGTGCTTACCATTTAAAAGAGCTATTAAAATGTATGTAAAATGGAATGCTAAAGTTGTGTGAACAGCTACCTTTTTTCTTTGTAGTAGTTTAAGGTTTTATGTTGGTGCTAATAAATACTTAGAAAATACCTGTTGATCTTGCCAGTTTCTTCTTTTTCTGAGGCCTTCTTTGATAGGGTGGCCACTAGCCACCATCTGCAAATCCTACAGAAGCATAGTCACCCTACTACAGGCAGCTGTGCTTTCATTCAATCCACCAAAGTCAATGATTGATAACTGCTCAAACCTTTAACCACTTTCCATCCAGCCCATGTACAGCCGGATGGGAGCAGTGCTGAGATATGGACTACAAGTGCCAGCCAATCAGTGATCACATGAATAGTAGTAAGCAAGATGTCACTTCTGACATCATTGCTTACTACGTGTAAAATCTGTGAATGATCACAGAGGTCACATGGTACAAGGCTATTCACAATAGTCTTGTACCATGTGACAAGCTGTGACCAATCACAGCTCACACAGTATTTCTCAATGGCTATAAGAATGCAGCCAGAGAGAAAGAGAAATTATTGCTTTTACAGCCTTTATGGGTGTAAAAGCAATCAGTGTAAAAAAAATAAAAAATCTTCATCACCCCCCACAAGTAGTACAGTGTCACTATGGTGACACTGTACTGCTAGGGTGCAAGTATGTTAAAAAAAAACAAAACATAATAATATAAAAAACTAAAATAAAAATGTAAAAACATTTTTTCAAAAATTATAATTTTTGGTTACAAACTAATTTGGGTTTTTTTTTTACTAAAAAGATAACCGAATACATTTTGGCCAAAATTTATGAAAAAGATTATTTATTTGCAAAATTTTATAAGAAAAACGCTTTTTTTTCAAAATTTTTGGACTTTTCATTTATATAGCAAAAAAAAAAAATCCCAGAGGTAAATAAATACCACCAAAATAAAGTTTTATCTGTCTCAAAATAAATGCTAAAAAATTCATAGGGGTGCAGTGTTGCATGACTGAGCAATTGTCATTCAAAGTGTGACAGTGCTGAAAGCTGCAAATTGGCCTGAGCAGGAAGGGGGTAAAAGTGTCCGGACTTGAAGTGGTTAAAGTAGAACTTAACTGAACAAGTATAAAACATGCTATGTCTCTTCTAAAATAAAACTACCTTACCTGCCTGTTTGCAATTTTCATGTGAATGTACATTGAGCTCAGAGGCCTCCCATAGACATGATTATTGCACAATCTGACTATTTTTAACTATGAATGTCATCTCTGTAAGTTTTAGTTTTTTATCAACTGTTGAAGCTAAAGCTATTAAAGTAATTTTTGGTGAAGACAAACATAGTACAGTTCTATATTTACTATTTATTTATTAATAACTTGGTATTAGCTGGTCTGCTATTAACTATGGTAGTTTAACCACTTGCCTACAGGGCACTTATACCCCCTTCCTGCCCAGGCCAATTTCCAGCAGCTTTCAGCGCTGGCACACTTTGAATGACAATTGCGCGGTCATACAACATTGTACCCATATGAAATTTTTAGCATTTTTTTTAGACAGATAGAGCTTTCTTTTGGTGGTATTTAATCACCTCTGGGATTTTTATTTTTTCTTAAACAAACCAAAAACCACTGAAATTTTTAAAAAAAAAAAACGTTTTTTCTTAGTTTTTGTTATACAATTTTGTAAATAAGTGATTTTTCTCCTTCACTGATGTGCACTAATGAGGCTGCAGTGATGGGCACTGATAAGCTGCACTGATGGATACTGATAGGTGGCACTGATGGGCACTAATGAGGAGGCACTGGTAGGTTGCACTGATGGGCATTGACAGGCATCACTGATGGGCACTGAAAGGCAGCACTGATACATGACACTGATATATGGCACTGATAGACTTCACTGTTAGGTGGCACTGACTGGCACTGTTAGGCGGCACTGACTGGCTCTGTTAAGCAACACTGACTGGCAATGATAGGCAGCACTGACTGGCACTGATAGGCGGCACTGATGAGCACGGATAGGTGGCACTGATTGGCAGCACTGATAGGTGGCACTGATTGGCATTGATAGGTGGCACTGACTGGCACTGATGGGTGACATTGAAAGGCAGCTAAGATGGGCACTAATATGTGGCATTGATGTGCACTGGTATGCACTGATATGTGGCATTGATGTGGCACTGATGGGCACTGGCATGTGGCACTGATGAGCACTGACTGCTGGCACTGATGGACACTGACAGGTGGCACTTCTGGGGCCACACTGATCATCAGGGCACACTGATCATCAGTGCCCTGATGATCAGTGTACATGTCCCCTCCGCAGAAAGCCAATTACCGGCTCTCCTCACCTCTCGAGCTGTCAGCGTGACAGCTCGAGAGGAGAGAAATGCCGATAACCGGCATTTCCCTGTTTACATGTGATCAGCTGTGATTGGACACAGCTGATCACATGACCGAGCCGACATCTTCGGCTCTTTCCGTGATCTGCTGTGTCCGAGGGACACAGCGCACTGGCGATCACCGCGCTGAGCGCTCCCTGAGCCGCGCATGCGCGGTGAGAATGGAAGGGCGTCATATGACATCCTATCAGAACGAGAGAACCACCTTGCGCCCGTCATTGTACTATATGGCGGGCGGAAGGTGGTTAAAGGTACTCACTTCTGTGTGTATATACAGTATTTGTCTCTTTCTTCTTTACCACCCATTTGAAGGGAACATGGTCATTTACCAGTTCAAAATTTGCCCTTACAAATAGTATCTCTGTGGGCCTGATGCCCACTTTATAGCTAAACATTTCTTCTCAAATCACACCTTATTTTTTCATGCTTAACCTCTTTGTTACATCCGAACGCAAATGTGCGGCCTCCCGGCATCTGGGCCTTGACGCCGAGTGGCCGCACATTTGCGTGCAATTAAGAAAAACCTATGCGCTGAGAGCGCGTGCCCTGAGCGCTCCCAGCACACATGTCTGGTACTCACGGAAAGGTCCCGATCTCCTCTTTCGATCGGGACCTTTCCCGATCATGTGACTACCATGACGGCGAATCACAGTGGTCACATGACCCTAAAACCCCGTCCCGCCTCCCGGCTTCTGAAACTCTTAAAGGGCCGGGAGGAGCCGGTGCCAAGGGGTTCATCAATTTTCTGCCCATGTACTTGACTTTCTCCAAACCAATGGCACACTTTTGGGGATTTGGTGTAAAACATGCTTTAGCAATCGCCTGAGCATGGGCCAAGTAAGGTTCCCAATCAGTGCTTTGAATCATTAGGAGATTTGAGATCTTAGGGTTCTGTCCATGACCCTCTAGAATATGAAAATGATATTTTGTTACCCAAAAGTCATCTTTTCTATATTGAAAAGAACTTAGAGAGGTTAAAAATGTAAGTCTGCCTATGAGCTCATCCAGCCGTAGTGCAGTAATTAACACAATGCACAAGTAGTACAGTGATAAAATAAATTTACTTAACTTCTGTTAAAGATAAATGTAAACTTTCATCACTGAATTAAGCTTCCTAGAGTTATTACAAAACATCCAACTGCCATTTTATTTTGGGATTAACAATGGTATAAAATAAGTGACTATATAGAAAACATTTCCCCCATAGTATGGAACTTTATAGTTCCATACTATTTTGTTTGAAACAGTATTAAAAATTACACAATATTCTTTACTATAATTATATCATTAAAAAGTGTAAAGGATTACATATTCCAATGTATCCATACATACAATATTGCTAAAGTAATAAATTCAGAACAGTACAAAAAACCTTTGTTAGCAGAGGTTTTATGAGTACCCGACACATTTCAGAGACAGTAGTTCCTTCATAGTTACATAGTTAGTCTGGCTGAAAAAAGACAAAAGTCCATCCAGTTCACCTTCCTCAGGGGTAGCTCTGCAGATAGTATAGTACAGGGGTCCTCAGACTTTTTAAACAGGGGGCCAGTTCACTGACCTTCACACTGTTGGGCGACTGGACTATAGTTTGAAAAAAATACGAACAAATTCCTATGCACACCACACATATCTTAATGCACGGGACAATGCAATGCACTGTACACTGTAATGCACTTGACACCAAAATGCACTGTACACTGTAACACACTTGACAACGCAATGCACTGTACACTGTATTGCTCTGGACACCACAATGCACTGTACACTGTAATGCACTTGACATCAAAATGCACTGTACACTGTAATGTACTTGACAATGCAATGCACTGTACACTGTAACGCCCTGGACACCACAATGCACTGTACACTGTAACGCACTTGACATCAACATACACTGTACACTGTAACGTACTGGACACCACAATGCACTGTACACTGTAACGCACTTGACATCAACATACACTGTACACTGTAACGCACTGGACACCACAATGCACTGTACACTGTAACACACTTGACACCGAAATGCACTGTACACTGTAACGCACTTGACAACACAATGCACTGTAACGTACTGGACACCACAATGCACTGTACACTGTAACGCACTGGACACTGCAATGCACTGTACACTGTAATGCACTGAACACTGCAATGCACTGTAAAGCACTGGACACTGCAATGCACTGGACACTGTAATGCACTGGACACCGCAATGCACTGTAGTGCACTTGACATCAAAATGCACTGTACACTGTAATGCACTGGACACCACAATGCACTGTACACTGTAACGCACTGGACACCACAATGCACTGTAACACACTGGACACCGTAATGCACTATACACTGTAATGCACTGGACACCGCAATGCACTGTACACTGTAATGCATTGGACACCACAATGCACTGTAACTCACTGGACACCGCAATGCATTGTACACTGTAATGCACTGGACACCGCAATGCACTGTACACTGTAACACAATAGACACTGCAATGCACTGTAACACACTGGACACACAAACACAACAAATTAATTTACAGGCATTTGTGTATCAAAGGGAGAATGGAGGAGACCTTCTCTGGTGTTCTCCATTAAGCTAAAATGGCCGCAGGGCTTTATGGAAAATCTTTATTAACAAGACACTCCCTATGCTTGTTCAGAGGAATAATAAAAACATGTGCAGTTGCAGTGAACACACAATAGATGGCTCCCTAGTCAACACCATGATGATATACAGAACACTGATTACTGATGTAACGGGTATTTACACTGACCACCAATGTAATTGAGTATTTTCAATTACCCCTGATATAATTGGGATATTTACACAGAGCACCAATGCAAAAGGGTTTTTACACTGGCCACCAATATAACAGGGGTATTTACACTGACCACTGGCGTAACAAGAGTATTTACACTGTCCACCAATGCAGCAAGGCTATTTACACTGACCACTAATGTAACAGGCTTACCTACACAGAATATCAATGTTCAGAGTACTGTATTTACACAGATTAATAATGTAACATCAGCATATAAACTGACCATTATTAGAACAAGAGTAATTTCACAGATCACTGGACACCAATGCGTTCACTATAATGGTTGTTAGTGTATGTGTCACCATTAAATTGGGGATAATAAGCTGGGGGAAAAAATACTTCAAAGCATTTACAAAAAGTCAGTTTAGTAAAATCTTTTGGCCTTGATACAGCCAGGTACACATCTGTGCTCTTTATAAACCTTTTTGACCAGATTTATTTTTATTTATTTCAGGTACTTATATAGCGCCATAAATTTATGCAGCGCTTTACATATATATTGTACATTCAGTCCCTCAAGGGGTGTACAATCTAAGGTCCCTAACTCACATTCATACATACGCATACTAGGGACAATTTAGACAGGAGCCAATTAACCTACCAGCATGTCTTTGGAGTGTGGGAGGAAACCAGAGTACCTGGAGAAAACCCACGCAGGCACAGGGAGAACATGTAAACTCCAGGCAGGTGGTGCCGTGGCTGGTATTCGAACCAACAACCTTAGTACTGCCAGGTGGAAGTGCTGCCCATATAATATATAAGATAATATAGTGCACTTCTAAAGAGGTTGCATTTATTTAGCTATTTAACAGCCAGCAGTTCTCACTTCAATAAAGTATTCTCTGTTGTCTGCATAGGCTCGTGGCAGCCAACAGGGACTAGTGAGAGGTTGGGTGGACTGCCTCTACTATGAGCTACACCAAAATTTGTTTTATGGACTTCTAAAGCAAAAGCAGACTTTTAGGTACAATGAATTTGGTATATATTTTTAAAAAAATTTATGGACCATTGGCAACACTGCCTGAGACGGTTGATTGGCACCACTATCTTGGATGTGATGTCAGCAGCACCAGAAGACTCAGAGCAGTCTCCAAACTTTTCAAACAAAGGTCCAGTATACTGTCCTTCAGACTTTAGGAGGGCCGGATTAGGGCCAGTAAGGATAACAAATATCCTGGCCCCAGCATCAGTGAGAATAAACATGGCCTCAGGGTTGTTGGTCAGTAGGAGGAGGAGTAGTGCCCCACCATTGATGTTAGTGGGAAGAATAGTACACCATCATTCATTTCATGAGAAGAAGTAGTGCCCCCATTCTTGGTCTCAGTGGGAGGAATAGTGCCCCAAGGGCTGGATAAAGGGTAGCAAAGGGCCATATCCGGCCCTCGGGCCGCAGTTTGGAGACCCCTGCTCTATAGTAATCCCCTTCAATCATCCTCTAACAGCTACAGTACATAAAAAGTTTATATAGGGAGGTGAGGGAAAGGGCAGAGGAGCTTGGTCAGCACAGTGAACAAGTAAGACACTTCCAGAATAGGAGAGGGTTATGGTGTGCAAGGAGGAAAGGGACTGTGCCAGGGAATTGACTCCCCTAAAGTAGTCAAATTCACTAGCAAGTTCAAAGTCACATTGCAAGTAAAAAAAATGATTTATGGAAAGAAAAATCAGTGCAAGAAAGCATTTAAAATATTTGATTTTTCTATGTTTTTATCAGCCATTTTTAAAGTTGGTGACAGAGCCTAGTTACGGAAACCCTGATGCAATGCTGGTCGTGATTTTAAATGATGCAGCAATCTTTGACAACAAGCCACAATAGGTTACTTACATGCATTTTAAAAATGTGTATGAAATACAAATGCATAATTATCATGAAGATTTCATCACATCTGTAAAAACACATTTTGAATTGCTAGGATGATAAGTTTATGGATACTTTTGGCAACTACACAAAAAAGGAGTCATGGTTCATTTTCACATGTCTTTGAAAATGGCTTTTAATTTAGAAACAATTTATCAAGGGATAATTTAGACATCCATCACTGTTCAAATTTTGCAGAGCAGCAAAGGTATATTTATGTTACTCGGTTACATGCATTATGTCATACTGACTTGAAATGAATCTACATTTACAATCTGACCGCAGGACATCATCCATCCACTGAACCTTTGAAAATTATTTTTTCAACAAATTTAAAGGAAATCTGTTCTTCTTGATGGGGGGCATAAAAGAGAACTTGTTGCTTTGCTCTTCACGGTTAACCGCTTTCCCATACAAAGCAGTGCACTTACAGTTGAAAACACACACAGCTTACAGTA